AGTCATAGGAAGGTTGAAAAACGACGTTACATTAATTTTTTTTTGTGCTATTTCTATCTTTGTACACCTGTACGTTGCGTTATTTTGCTACTATTGAGACGAACGAGTAACCAATTTTTTCGTCTTTTAAAGACGTTTTCAACCATATAAGTTTGTATAGGGTTTTTTAAATGTTTATTGAAGTTACAATATAAAACGTCTAAACTTTTGTGTCGCGATCAAAACTACATTTGTTATTACTTTTTCGGTTTGTTAAAAGTTACACATTCTAGACAAACTTGAACCCCAATGATAGTTATATGGTCTTAAAGAGCATAAAATTACCTTTAATTTGGTGTATGTAAAAAGTTTCCAAGTCCTCTAGAACTGAAGATACAGCTGTTTGAAGTTTTACTGAAAATTCAAGATTCAATTCTGTGATGATCTTACCATATCCGGTCTATGATAAATTCACAGATTTAGTACTTGAATTTTTAGTAAAACTTCAAACAGCTGTATCTTCAGTTCTAGAGGACTTGGAAACTTTTTACATACACCAAATTAAAGGTAATTTTATGCTCTTTAAGACCATATAACTATCATTGGGGTTCAAGTTTGTCTAGCATGTGTAACTTTTAACAAACCGAAAAAATAATAACAAATGTAGTTTTGATCGCGACACAAAAGTTTAGACGTTTTATATTGTAACTTCCTGGCCAGAGCACTGCCAACAATAAATAAAAAAAGAACACGGCTAAAAAGATTCCGATTGATCGAGACAAACAATGTATAACATATAAAACTACCAAGAATGTAATATCTGTTCTTTTTATGGAATTTAATTTTCAACTTTTATAGACTTCGCGTGAAATCATTGGATTTTCACGGAAGAGGATATTTGTAATTTCACAATGATATAAACAACTAAATTGCATAGCAAATGAACTCACTGTCCTATAAGGACAGATTGTATCATAATCTCTTGAAAAAAAAAAAAATATTGTAACTTCAATAAACATTTAAAAAACCCTATACAAACTTATATGGTTGAAAAAGTCTTAAAAAGACGAAAAAATTGGTTACTCGTTCGTCTCAATAGCAGCAAAATTACGCAACGTACAGGTGTACAAAGATAGAAATAGCACAAAAAAAAATTAATGTAGCGTCGTTTTTCAACCTTCCTATGACTATATCTTTGTTTTTAAGGCACCTAGAGGGCTAAAATTTTACAGAGAAACTCCTGTTAACATGTTAAACAAGCCCTGAAACTTTCAGCCCAATCGGTCAACCCGACGCCCGCGCTGAAGCATGATTATATTGTTTTTACAAAATTCAAACTTCAAGCTTCATGCGTTAACTGAAGATATCATTTGTATGCGCCGACCTCGCGGCTTTTCACTTTTTTTGAGTTATACTAACGTTCTATTGCTATTAGAAAGCGATCGGCGACAAAAAGGTTTTTTCGCTCCGCCCTACTGTGTACTACTGTGGTGAGATTGTTTGGAGCCAAAGATACCATCAATCTGGTGGACATTTCGCTTCGCTGGCATAACTCGCCTGCTGCTTGTCATGCCGTGGGTGGAAGGCCCGTTACCGCAGCGGCCTTGACCCCCAACTACACACACCCTTGTTGTGCGCTACATGGAGACCGTCGCGTTGGTAGTAGCTAAATAAAATTGTTCTGCAGGAAAAGTGACATCTCTGGGTATGCAGCAATAAACCGTCAGCACCTAAATAAAATCACGGAGGCGTACAACAACTACTCTGGTCATACAACGAGTTGATGGCAGCTGAATAAAATTTTTGTCGAGGGCAAAGCGACTATTCTTTGCATATGGTATCAATTTGCAATCGGGGGTATCTATGATATCGGGTTGAATAGATCGTTGAAAGGAAGACGTAGATGAGGTAAAACAATAAAGTACTTTTGTCAATAAAGTATGATTGTCCGTTTATTAAACAATTCATAATGGGTTTCGTTGGTAAAGGAATAGGTATTGGAACAACGTCATAAAAGTCCGAATTGGACGAGAGTAGCTAGCTCTACTCAGGAGCGATATTAACGAGATGTGACCTCTTCAGAGTTGAAAAGAGAACTTGACCAAAGGCTGAGTAGAGGTCTTAGATTGCTCGTAGCCCGGTCTAGAGAGAAAGTGAGCAAGTGCTGGTTTTGCTCTTCAGGGCCTCTGTATTTTGTAAGGAAGTAGACGGCCAGTACAGGTTCCGGCGGTACTTCTTCCTTTTATCCATATCCTAAACCCTTGCCGAGAGAGAGAGATCCGAGTATCGCGAGCCCGATATGAAACTTGGATCGGCGCCGTTCACAAGAGCGCCGAATTCGCAGCGAGAGAGTCGCGAGAGACGCGACTCGTGTGTATGATCCGCGCGCCTGCTGAGGACAAGCAGACGAAAAGCTGTCATAGAAGGGAGCCCTAATTAGTTGACGGGCCAACGACTGCGAGGCTGTGCGAGCACTCTGTGCTGGTCCGCGCTCAGCGACGCTACTGCTGTAGTCCTTTGTCAAGTTCGGTTGTGTTGTGTGCGTGCGAGCTACCTGCTGCGAATCCATCAATGCCTGGCTTTCCTCTCGTCTGCCCTCGCTTATTTGCAGCTCGATTTGGCCTGTATCACCTGCCCAAGAATCTTCGTCATCAAATGTAAGTCGCCTACACCTATCTCGCGTGCATGCGCCATATCTTCTGTTATTGTATAAGCTCGATCTCTCTCGAACGTCGTCCTCGTCTAGCCCAAACTCATCTCGTATCGTCGTAGCCCAATCTCGTATCTGCCGTGTCTAGCCGCGGTGGCCTGATTTCGTGTACCTATTGTATCGGGAGAATATCCTATGTCTAACGCGTGTCCAAAAGCATTATTTATAATCCGTCGATTCATTTTAATGTATGATATATTCAAGCGTCACATTCGTGACTGGCGCCCTTTCTTACAATAAATCAAGCCTAATTATTATTGTTATTTCTACATGATCGAGTGGATTCTTTCGACACCCCGACTTTTCTCCTTTTACAGCACATGAGGATCTCGCTGGACTCTTTACCCGCATCCCGAGGGTAAACGGTTACAATTTATATCCAAAAATACCGTCGGCGGCTTTGCTAAAGTGTGATGGAGAAAGTAAGAGAGACTGAAGAATTTGAATGTTTAAATGAAAGAGGCTGGAAAACAGCGCTGGCGCAACGATGATGTAAAAATTAGTAACTATATAGTTCAATATAATTTATGATGTTGCGAATAGCTGTGATTTAATTTCAATAATGATGAGAAACTCCTTCGAATGGCGACGGAGACATTGCTAATAATGTTCTAGTTACTTATAGTAACTCATTATTTCCATGGAAAATTGCTTCAGCTTTCCGATGGCGAGTTCAGATTTCCCAAAATTTTCCGTTTTACCCAGAAAAATCGCTGGACAAATTTTAAAATCGATTATCTAGAAAACTTCATTTTACGATTTTTCTAAACAGTCTACATCGAAAGATCAGGAAGTTTTCCATCGATATTGACAATTTTTAGCAAGGCGTTTTTTGATTTTAGCGAGATATAGCAAGAGAAAGAAGAAAAAACGTGGTTTCAACGCGCGCTGCGTCGGCCGGGCATGCAAAAACCGCAAAAAGTCACGTTTTTTCTCCTTTTTCTCGATATATCTTGCTAAAATCAAAAAACTTCTCTCTGAAAATTTCCTAATCTTACGATCTAGACTATTTAGAAAAATCTTAAAAATTCTTCGCCTCGAGTGCCAACTTCCACGCATTGGCACGCGAAAGTACGCGGTTTCACCACCATTTTCGATGTCAAAAGTTGTACTTTTAGCCACTGCGAAAACTCTTCCTACTGCTCCTGACTTTCGTTCGTTGATAATTCGTGACTAAGCAACCATCGTTTAATTTATTTTCGAGCTGCAAAATGAACGTGGAATAGCATGGAGAGAACAACGATGTTTGCGCAGGGTTAGGGTTCTTACTATATTTCCAGCGAACGCACCCAACTTTTCCGTGGTCCAGATGCGATTGGTCCGAGATTCGTTTTATCTGATTTTTTTTGATGGCACATGAAAAAATCTGATATGTCACTGTGATTATTGTAGAATGATGTAATAATTGAAGTGTAGTTCGGAAACTTGTGTAGGAAATTAAAATTGTATTAAATTTTCACTTAGCGAGTTACAATAATATAATAAATACACTTTTGATTTTTGTAAATGTGTATAAATGAAATGTGTCAAAATTACATGTCGCTAAATCGGTTAATTTTTTCATTAGACTCATTCGATACTTTCTTAAAAATGAAAGAAATATTTAAAAACCCGTAAATATGTACAAAATACATAACCAAATATAACAAAAATTTATATAATATACGATTGTTTCAATGCCTCGTGTCGCAAATGTCGGGGTGGGAATTGCCAGCACCGCTAATCAATAAATAATCGTTCGCAATGTACGCCAAATAACGTGCTTTCAACCAGGGTCTAAGAAATTATATTATATCAATAGAATATGATCAAATCTTGTAAATAATGTCTCAGACGTATTATTTCATCAGATTGTTTTTTTTTTTTTTAATAATAATTTTATATTCAGACTGTGATTCAAACGATTTCGTACAAAGGACAATTAATCTTAATAAAAAAAATTGAATTTATTGACTTCTATGATATAGATGAAGCTCGCCTTCTACTCGTGCTATAATCCCTCGTTTTGTTAAAAAAAAAACCATATGTGCACCCGTTGAGAAATATACTATTTTTGATTCTCTTTGAAAAGCAAATATTCAGATCATCTTTGGTCTAACATTGGAATTAGGTATTTTTTAAAGTTACCTTATATCCATACACATCAAATTAAATAATGAAACATTTTGAACAAGAATAAGTTAAAATGGATTTTTTCTATTTGTTTAAGCAAAGCATAAGGTTGAATATTTAAATAGTTGATCTTTTCTTATAACATAGAAAAGAATGATTTATTTTTTTTTTTTAATTATTTTAAAAAATTTTTTCAAACCTTTTCTTCAAATGGCTGAGTTCTTGTATCCGATTCTTTTCCATCAAAATCCTGTAAATGGGGTAAATTAAGTTGCTGGGATAGATCATTCTGTAATTGTTCTTCTCTGGATGGTTCTTTTAAATTTGTTACAACTTCCTAAATAATTAAATTTTTTATCATACGGTTGTTGACATTCAAATTTTTGCAAACTTCTAGTATCTCAGAAGTGTAAAAAATATTTTACTCACAACTTGTGGTACTGCAGGGTCATATTTAAAATTGATTTGCGTAGCTGTTATCAGAGCAGCTCCCATTAAGACGCTGAATATTGCGAAACATATAGTGTAATTTCTTTCCTTCAAATCAGGTACACAAGGATGCTCTGGAAACGAGGTACTATGATCTAATGCAATACCAACGAAAAACATTGCAAGACCCCAGCCTAAACTACCAAACATACGTTGGTGACCATATCTGAAAATCAAAATGAACTAATTTTTTTCCTTTTTTTTCATTAATATTCATAATTTTCGAATATAACAATAAGTATTTTTTAAATAAAATGTCAATTGAAAATTGTTTCCATTATTATTTTTCCATGACTCATTTGGGAATTACTTGGTTATGAAATAACTAGATAATCACTTGTTCTTTTAAATATACTTCACACAATAACCTCTAGATTTACGTTAATAATTGTATAGTTATGCCTTTTTAACTATAATTAAAACTTTAATTCTAACTAATATCAAAACCAAATTATGGAAAACTATAAGAATGAAAAATGTTCGCTGCATTATTCAGATCGACCAAAGGGTAAATTCTTCTAGTTTTTTTTTAGTAGACCCAAGATATAAGTTTAATTTCAATTAAATTCAACAAACTTTGATGTAAGTTTTTTCTCTTTGGCTTGAACTTCGTGTTTGAAAGTGTGTTTATAAAAAAATTGTATTCCAACTGAAGATTTCACCTATGAATGATGCCAAATGTCCATTTAGTGCTGTCACCGACGGAAATTTTTCTCATTAGAAAGTTTTATAAAGTCTAAAATAGTATTAAAAAGTCTTACAAATGTTCGGATTTCGTACACCCGATCAATGATTTCAAAGAGTTAAAGAGAGTTTTTAAAAATTCATTAAAACCTGTAGAGACTCAATTTTTTTGCAAAAATTTTAAGTTTTTTTTTCATTTTTTTTATTTACCATACGTTGTTTATATGGTTGCTCGTATAGTTTTTTCACCAAGACTTTTGGTGAGCGTGGATACCCACAAAAAAGTCTTTAAAAATATTGAAAACTTTTATCAATACTTAATAACTCTTAATAACTCATTATAACAATTATTATAACTTATAAACAATTGCCTTACCCGTCTGAACATTTCGGAAACCAAATATCAGCTTTCACATACATTTTTAAAATTTATTTCTATCATTTAAAACTCTTATAAAGTGTTATTAACTATTAAAAATCATGGTACGAAATCCGAACAATTATAAGAATTTTTAAGACTTATTCAGACTTTTAAGGAGTTTTTAAGAATTAGAGTGGCCATGAATTTCCGTAGGGGGTAGAATGCGCTATCTTGAACAGAACCTGAAGATTACCTCTTTGATAGCGCCTTGTTAGATGTACTTCGACGAGCCCAGAATACAGGTAAGTACGTGAGGTGATTGTAAAGGAAATCTTATTTAAAAAATATGAGTCTTACACAATTGTTTTAAATATTAAACACTTGAAAGGATTCATACAAACTTACTAATTTAAATTAGAGAATCAAAAATACGGCAGTAAAATTGTTGGAAAAGATATTACTTTATGTCCGAAATAGATTCAAGGGAGGCGTACTATTTAATATGACTTTATAACAATTACAGTAAGTATTAAAGATTCACGTTAGAAAATGTATTATACGAAATCCTATTTCCGTATGGAATCAACTACGTACTTTGTATATGTACTAAATTACAGAATTGATTGTTTTATGTCCCATCAAGTTACAAAATATACATCGACGTTTTATCAAATGAAAGCCAAGGTGAAAAATATGACAAAAGATCTTACATAAGTTCCTATACGAGATCACACATATGATCGTATCTTATAAAGTTGCTACAATCCGGCTCTGCTGCGACACTGCTTCTTTTGCAACTGCTTCTGCTGTTTCTTCAATATTTTCACGAAAATCACTTGCTACGGTCGATGCCACGCAGATTAGCGTGCGCCGTACGCAGCAACGCTCTGTCTCTCGTTTGTAACCGACAATTACCAAATTATTCACGCCAATAACAGCATAACAGCGATCTCAAAAGTGTCTCCAAATATTTTAATTAGTTACACATTTAGTTCTTTATTTCACATTAATTTTTAACTGGTTTAGAATATATATTCTAGTGTGAATAGTTTGGTAGTTGTCGGTGACTGACCAGAGATAGAGCGCTGTCATCTGCGAGGCGTCGACCGTAGCAAGTGATTTTCGTGAAAATATTGAAGAAACAGCAGAAGCAGTTGCAACAGAAGCAGTGTCGCAGCAGAGCTGGATTGTAGCAACTTTATAAGATAAGTGATTTGTAACGTAGTTAATCAAAAAAATAACCTTATTATTCTAATACTAATATAATACATACATAAATACACATACATGAATTCACCAAGAAAGTGGTAATTTGTCATAAAATTCATGTTTCAGGTGCTACACTCGTTCTTAGGTTATTTTTCATCTTCGACTATCATCAGATCAAATGTGTTTTTTAAGTGTATTTTGTGAAAACAAGCTGTAAGTTGATTCGTAAAAAACCTAGAGTTTTCTTAGTCAATTAGATGTAGAAAATGTTTAATAATAAACCTATCTATGTTAGGTCGCACTTAAAAATGTAATCATTTTTGAAACTTGAAAATAAAATAATTCCTCGATTAAAAATCTGATCATTTGTTATTATTTAATATACATTTCCATACTTTATTACTTAATGAACCATCTTAAAGTAATTCTTGGTGCACCTCCTCCGTAAGGTATGAAAATTATTAGGATTCTGAAATATCAAAGTATATAAGTTCTCACATACGATCTGACACAAGAACATATATAAAATCTTGTGTCGATTATCGTAGGCTAGATCTTGCACAATATCTTGGGTACGATCATATGTGTGATCTCGTATAGGAACTTATTTAAGATCTTTTGTCATATTTTTCACCTGGGAGGTTTAGCAGATTAGGTGTATACATCATAGTATTCAAGCCTCGTTTTCCGCCGCTTGTTAATATATCCATGCAGCTCGACTTGATGCTTGTAGGGCTTTTTCACAGTCGTCAGTGACGGTCAAAAATCGACCAGCTGATTTGCCTGGAGGCAAAACAAAGCGACCGCCCATATACTTTACATGTTAAAGTTGTTTGGTAAAAGTAGTTGTAATTAGTTTACCGTGCAGTAAAAAAATATTTTGAGAAAGCGGAAATCCTTGTGTATCGAAATATCGAAGCGGTTTTTAGTTAAAGTGTTTATTTTGTAAATAAAAAATTATTGAAATTTCGGCTTTTTGTCTGTGATATTGTCAATAAACTCTAATAAATAGTAATTAAAAGTGGTTTTTTGGGTTGCAATATAAACTCTCAAGCGGGGAAATTTTTATTCTTTTAAATTACCAATGAAAAACTAAGAAACAATCGTAATTTCGAAAAATTATGAAAATGATCTCGCAATCGTCTTCTAACCCAAGTTGGTGGAAAGATAATATTCTTAATTACGATTGTTTCTTAGTTTTTCATCGGTTATTTCAAAGAATAAAATTTCCCTGCTTGAGAGTTTGTATTGCAACCTCAAAAACCACTTACAATAACTATTTCATTAGAGTTTATTGACAATATCACAGACAAAAAAGCCGAAATTTCAATATTTTTTTATTTAAAAACTAAAGATTTTAACTAACAACCGCTTCGATATTTCGATAAACCAGGATTTCTGTTTTCTCCGGATATTTTTTGTTTTGCCTCCAGGCAAATCAGCTGGTCGATTTGTGACCGTCACTGACGACTGTGAAAAAGCCCTATTGTTGAAAATCCAAAAAAATGTTCTCGCCAAAATTCCAATAAATTTTCCTGACAAATTTCGAAAATTTTCCCGCCCAAATCCAAAAAATTTAGCGGGATAAAATTGTTAAAATTTGGTGGGGAAAAATTTGAATTTGGGCGGGAAAATTATTTAAATTTTAGCGGGAAAAAATTGTTCTAAATTTAGCGAGAAAAATTTTTAGAAGTTTGGCGCGAAAATTTTTGATGCCTAAAACTACGAAACAACTCGCTTCGAAAGCTAGCAGAAAAATCAAGCCTTTTTGGACGTTAACGGGTTAAATGAGAATTGCGATTGTTTTGCATCGTGGAATGGAGATCCGGAAGTAGCAGTTATAGATGCGTTTATGATCGATTGGAAAAATAAATTGTTTTGTTCTTTTCAACCCTTTCCGCTTATAATAAAAGTTTTAACTAAAATTAGAAGAGAGAAGAGGTCGTTATTGACCAAATTAGCAAGGACAAGCTTGATTCCGTTCTATGTTTTTTATCAAAAATTCAGAAGAAAGAATCTTGAAGGTAAGTTTTTCTATGTTTCTTTTTCTCATCCAGTAACCCAATGTAATAGGTACTGATGAACATAAAAGTTTAGTCAAAGAAATGTTATTATCAATATTTGTGGATGGTCTTGGTACCCTCAAAGAATGGGATTTGGAAATTTGAATTGAATTGACATAAAATTTTACTTATAGTTTAATTTTAATATGGAAAATATAAAATTGCTTAAAATTACCTATCTGTATCTTCACCAAGTAGTGTTATAACAGCCGAATCAGCTAAAGTTATGGCAGGTGCAGAAAAAAATTCCCCCACTATAACTAGCAGTAATAAGAGGAAAAAAGTTTTTTGTATGTCCTGAAATAAAGATAACAATTAGATCCTAAATCAGTGTTCAAATTTGAAAGAAATAGTATATTACAGGCAGCAATATACTATTTTATGTATTTTTATATAAAATATGAAAAGTGATAAGCAAATAAGAAATCGCTCGAAAAATTAAATTGAATAATTTCTTACTAATTTTGTTATTTGAAAATATAAAATGAGAAAATTATTCATTTTGTATGAAATAATAAGCACATACTGGTAGTTTGTAGACGATTGAACTGAATATCGGTTTCACCCATCCTTTGTGCACTTTTTCATCATAATTTGCTGCATAGCGAACTGACATAGGACTTTGCCCATTCGAATAAAATTGTAGTTTAATGCTCCTTGTTTTTCTGTGAACTAAATTCTCTTCTAAAATATTTTCTTTATTCTTCAATGGGTCTATTTTCATGAAAGTAGGCAACAAAGATGTCGTTCTCTTACTATTTTTGTTTGAACCTTTTGTATCTTTTGAAGTTTCATCATCAAACAATGACTGTTGATCATGTGTCTTATGGAAATTATCTTCTTTCTAAAATGAATATAAATAATATAAATAAGTTTTATGGATTTATAATTTTATTGAAAACTATGAAATTCATTAAATAAAAATTATTTACTTTTACTTTTGTTTTGTAAAATTGTTACAATAAAAAAGATTATGTTTCATTTTAAAAATGCAATAAGTAGTGCTTAAAGTCTTCAGGGTATCGGAGTCTACATTTTTTTCTCGTTTTATACGTGAAATTATTTTTATCATCTTTTTTTAGGTAGCTTTGATGGTAGAAATGGAACCGCTCGTTACGAGAAGGAAACGCCCGTGGTAGCTAGTATCGACGATCGACTGTTTAACATTTAATAGTCGCCTTTTGGTCACAAATGCATTTTTCCACATTTAAAGAGATTTAGGGCTGTCATTCGAAATGCAGCCACGGTTTAAAAAAAACATTTATTTGCTTTGAAACTTTATATTATGAATATTAATATCAAAATACAACTTTTCACCGTAAAATTGCAAAATTTAAAGTTTTGGCTTTCGATTGGCATAATAAAAAATACATTTTGTCACTCTCATTATAATAAAATTCTTTCAAGAAAGTAAATTTTTACGGTCGCATTGAGGTAGTGTCATCTGCTCATAATACAAGTAGAGTGAAGGTAGCGGAAAGGGATCGGTGAAAACTCTAAATTATGGGACGGGTACAAATGAGTAGAAACCAATTAACTACACTCGTATTGACTATCTGAGTCAGAGTAAACAGTCACTTTAATGTTTTTGTAATTGGAAGGCGATCTACGGCAAAATATGAGTCATTTCACGTCAAGTCTCCAGCAGTGCGCGCAAACGGCCGTATTAAGTCAAACTGCTCAATTTCTAACTCGCTGTAAAAGTACCTAAATGCACCTAGAAGAAAAAAGAAACCCTCCATTTCGATGCGAAATTACAGCAGCTTTCCAATGGTAAGATCAGATTTACAAAAATTTTCCATTTTCCTCTTGAAAATGGCCGGAAAACCTTCAAAGTCGAATATCTGAAAAACGGAATTTTTAAGATCTTTCTAACTTTTTCAAATTGATCCATCATCCGCAAGATCAGGGAGGTTCAGCATTGTTGAGAATTCTCTTGAGCAGATGGCATAGCAACTCGTTGGAAGTTGAAGAACGATTAAGGATCATCCTGGGTAATCCTAATACGTTTCCGAACAGTAACTTTCATAGCTTTCATAGTGTTATTGAAAAATCGGTCTGGTCGAGTTATGTTACTGGACAAGTATAAGTGCGACGGTAAGGTGGAGTCTTACATCCTTGTCTTGTCTGATTTTTCATTACTTTTACTGGCTACTCTTTTTACTGCATCGTCCAGTCATCTTTTTCTGGATATCTCGTTGGCCCTCTTCTTAAGTTTATTGTTTAAACAAATCGTTTAATAAAATTGTTAACCTATTAGCGCCCAGACGGACACTATTTTTAACTGAACTGCAGGCAAATATCTTTACCATTCCGAATTTTACTAAAAATTAACGAGTGCATGTTTCTAACGGAAAATTTATTGCCCTTTTCGAATATGGCTTCACAATTGATCTTAAAATTATTGTTCAAAAGCTATAAACAATTAAACAAAAAAAAACACGAATTGAAAAAAAAAATCGTTTTCAACTCGAATTTTAAAACAGAAATAGGCTTGATACATAGGTCCCGAGCACATTAAAGGTGTCCATGGGATGTAAACTGAAAAGCCCAATATCCATAATATCGAAATTGAATATTTTTCATAACAAAATGACGCTTCGTAGAAAAAAGACCGTATATGAGCTAAACCAATTTTTTTACATGACAAGGATGCATCTAGGAAAAAAAAGTTATCTAGAAAAAGTTCTTAGAATTGTTCAAAGAACAACCCTGAATTTTTTCAGAATTTTTCGAGAAAATTTTTAAATTTTCTGAAAATGAAACTCAAAAAATCCAAAATTATTCGAAAAATTCTGAAAAAATTCAGGAGTGTTCTTTAAACAATTTCAAGAACTTTTTCTCCGTAACTTTTTTCCCCTAGATGTATCCTTGTCATGGAAAAAATTAGTTAAACTTTTTCTTACTTTTAGCTTAAATTGCTATGGTATATAAATGGTAAAGATATTTGCCTGAAGTTCAGTTAGAAAAAGTGTCCGTCTGGGCGCTAATGGGTTAAAGGGCCGGAGGTCGGGACAGCACCTTGTTCACTGCCAGGATAAGAGTGGTGACAGCTCGTCACAACAGTCAAGGCTCTAGAGGAGATGTTGCTCTGGGTCCCCTCAAACGTGACTTGACTGTCCTGGTCTGTCTGACACATCTCGGTCACAAAGGGAGGCCCAGCAGTGATGCTTGCGAGTTGGGTGATGATATTCGAAGCGTCAACATTTCTTATTGTTGTCGGAAAATCAGACAAGACAAGGATTTAAGGCTCCACCTTACCGTCGCACTTACACGTGTCCAGTAACGTAACTCGACTAGACCGATTTTTCAATAACACTATGAAAGCTATGAAAGATACTGTTCGGAAACGTATTAGGGGTACCCAGGATGACCCTAATCATTCTTCAACTTCCAACAAGTTGCTATGGCGTCTGCTCAAGAGAATTCTTAAGAAGGCCGAACCTCCCTGATCTTTCGGATGATGGATCAATTTGAAAAAGTTTCGGATACTACGAAGAGCACAGATCAAATTTCGCGAAGTGCGATAGCTACCCTTGAATACAACTGACTCTTCTTCTGCTGAAATCAACTTAATTGTCAAGAGCATTGGTTTAACCCATTAATGCACAAAAGTGCAATTTTGTGCATGAATTTACCACTGTAAAAAGATCATCGATAAAGTTAAAAACTTTTCTTGAAAATTTAAACCGAGGAGTTTTTAGGTGCGCTCTTTTAGAATCCGGTGTTATTTTTGCGATAAACAAACATTATCATCGTTTATTTTGCAATTAAAAAAACGTGATTTTATGACTAATAATTTTTTGCCAATTTATACGTTCGAATATTAAAATTTAAGTTTCTTAAATAAATAAGTTCAGTAAAAACCGGTCTCCGCTTTTTCTGCACCCGTACTCTATTTGCAGCAAGCACCAACCATTTGAACAGAAAAGATATATCTTATGGTAAAAATGTAAAATTAAAGCCAGATTTATTTACAGCATATATTCGTAAAAAGTACCTTTTGTTCTGGATCCATTTTCATTGTGTTACGTTGCTTTTCATTATCTTGTCCATCATAACTTTGAATTTTTTCAGAGGAGTTATTAATTTCAAAATTTCCTATTAAATTATATCTAAATGATGAATTTTTCATCAATTCATCTCTCATGTTGTTCTGATTCGGTAAATACTTTTCAGTTTCCATCTCCTTCTCTGATAAAGAAAACTCTGATCTTTTTTGAATTGATCTTTTTGAAATTTTCTGATCTGCATCCGGTATGGATATTAAATATGTATGATTTTTATAAATCATACACGACGTTGCTGGAGGTTGAACAAATCCAAGTGGTAAAGTGAAAATAACCCAGCACGAAAGGGAAGCAAGGAGAATGAGTTTTCCTCTTTTCCATCTGCAATTATATTTAAAATACATAATTAAAATAAAAAAAAAATATTTTGCTTAAACTAGTATACAGTTTAACTTTTGGAAATTCTAACTTTCTCATTCATAGAAATTCTCTCACATAAAAATTGGCGTGACAAGAACTCTAGCTTGGTCATTTCAAATTGTAAAATATACGCGCTGACTATTTTCAAAATGTACTGCCAAATAAGTAACTATTGGATAACGCTCATGAATAAAAAATGTGAAAATACACCAAAAAGCTTCATTATTCATCATTCAGCACGGTTATATGCCTAATTCCGAAAACGGTTATGTAACTACTTTTTTTGACATTCTTGCAAATTTTTTAAACCGATTTCACTGAATTGCAGTATTCAACATTGATTTGAGTTTTCATGGATTTTTATGAACCTAACCCAGTTGTTGCAGGGTGCACAGTGACACATAAGGGACATACGCTGTACCGTACGTTACTGTAAGCGGTTGAAAGTGACGCACCAGTTCCTTGCTGATGGAGCTCCAGAGAATGCGCTGCCAATCGACGCCGAGCTTGTTGGCCTTGATCTGATGGAACATCATGCAAATGCCTGAGCAAAAGACGACCTTATAAGTCCGCCACCTCAGCAAGACGATTTAGATATCGCGCTGTAACTTCAGACCTTGACAGAGCACAACATTCAAGCTTGATGTGATCTTGAGGCATCAAAAACTACTTGTAGCGCTGCTCTGTTGCCAAATAACGTGGAGTGGAATGTAGTTGGCTAGAGAGACAGCCACGGACGTTTGGAGTCATCCGTCACATGTGGGTTAATCGCTTGTAGGCCTCTATGAAGTCGCAGTGGCGAACTCAGGGTTCCTCTCTATTCGACGGTGCAAACTCGTCAAAGATGCGTGTGCTAAAGCTTCGTTTGTTGTCTCAAAGGTAGTCATGCATTATGGAAAGCCGAAACTTGATGACCGTGGTCCATAAGCTTCCAGAATCGTTGGAAGAGCTGTTGATGCCACTTGGAAATCTTTTCCACTGTCAGGGAAAACAAGCCAATGGCTTGCTCTCCAGTGCCGTCAACGGGTTGTCGACCGGAGTTCTTCGCCAGCAAGCCACAGTGGTGGAGAAGTCTGTCTTCCAGCAACGATATCAGTTCATCCGCTCCCACACGCAATTCTTTTGATCCAGGCTGGTTAAAATAGGGATTAACAAGCTTCCGGTCAACCCATGGTGCCATCGTCACGCGCATTGCTTCGCTGGGAGCGTTCTGATTTCCAGATGTCGTACACACGCTGCTTTCAATGCGATCGGCTGGGGCCAGTTCGGAAGATTAAATTGGATGCTTGCAGTCTGTAGGGCTTGGCTGACGAGGCCACTTCCAAGCGCTTTGATGTCGATCGATGCGCTTTCAACAATTGCGATTTGTGCGGAAACGATGATAATCTCAAGGGTCCAAAAGCGTGTGCACAGCAAACTGGCGGTTACCAGGACAATAACGTTCAGAATAGGCAATACTGCGAATCAGAATGAGTGGTGAGATAGTTCTTCATTTCGATTTACCAAATCGATCTCCTGTTTATCGTCAAAAATGGTATTGAGCAAAGGTCGTCGCTTTTTTGGAGACAAAATGCCAAGTGTTTATCACCAGCCAGCTCTGATAGGCAGAGCAGCAGATCCAGACTCTGCAGGAAAGCTTGCTGGTAGATGCAAAGAAGTGGGGGCTGCCGTACCAGGTCATGGAGTTTGACTATGAGAAGTGCAGTAAAACCTCCCTTTAGCGGACACTGATAGTTCCGAGGAATTTGTCCGCTATCGAGAGGGGGCCGCTTTTCAGAGGTAGCCAGAAAATTAACATAAAACTAACGATATGAAATTAAAAATACTATTATTATGCATTCATTACTTCATAATGAATTACAAATGAGGGTAAATAATCAATAACGTATGAAATTGCGGTTATTTTTTCGTTTTTGATGATTTTTTCAAAATTTTTATGAATTCATCTGAATATTTGATCGTGCGGTGTCCGTTAAAATGATTTTAATGTACGAAAAAAGTGTCCGTTAACAGAGATGTCCGCTATTAAGAGGTGGTTGTGGCCGCTTTCAAGAGGTGCTAGTCCCAAAAGAAACAATGTATTTCTGCCAAAATCGCAAAATTTGTCCTCTATTGGTAGGTAGCCGCTTTTAAGAGGGTTAACCCATCAAGGGGTAACACCACGCTAGGATTTTGGAAAATTGCTAAAATTTATAAATTTTTTGTGAGGGCCACGATGAATACTTGAATTTAAGACTTTGAGGACTAATAATACATGCAATATACTATACTACTATACTATACTACTATAAGAAAAAAATTTCGTTATTAGTTTTAGTCACAAAATGGCGAATATGTATGGGACATACTAAAAATGTGGAAAATAATAAATGTTGCACAATGAATTTTGTACATCATTTTAAATTGAAAGTACATACTTAAATATGAATTTAGCAATTTAAATCCTATTAAAAAATTGATAAACAAGTGTTGATAAGCAAAATTTCACGTCAACTCTCCGAGTGCTGCACGAGCGGCAAAGCGGAAAAAGGGCAAAATTTTGGGAAATCTGAGCTCGCCATCGGAAAGCTCAGGCAATTTCCCATCGAAATAATGCGTTCCTTTTTTCTTCTAGGTGCATTTAGGTACTTTTACAGCGAGTTACAAATTTATCGATTCGACTAAATGACGCCGTGCCGTGCGGACTCGGAGAGTGACGTGAAAAGTGGTTTATAAACACTTGTTTATCAATTTTTTAATAGGATTTAAATTGCTAAATTCATATTTAAGTATGTACTTTCAATTAAAAATGATAAATATACAAAATTCATTGTGCAACATTTATTATTTTTCACATTTATAGTATTTCCCATTTTATTTGGTCAAATTTGCTCTAATACGCTAGTACAGAATTTCACCGCTACGCAGCGTGACGGTATCGTTCAGTCCTCAATAAAGATGACCTCATATTTGAGTTTGATCATAACCTCAAAAATACATTAAACGAATAATCGATTTATTAAATGGGAACCCTCATTATTATTCATCGCAGGTTTTGAAAGAGTAAAAAAAATATTATGTTCAAATTTGCCGTTATTCCAAAGGTGTATTAGTTACAAATAAAGCTTGAATTTAACATAAATTAGAAATAAAATAAAATAACATTTTCTAATTGAATAGATAATTATACTGTTTATTTTGATTTTGATTTTTATTTTAATTTACGTTCATTTTTAGTTAATTAATGATGCTTTATAATACACATGAGTTCTAAAAGTAGAGGACATTGCGTTTGAGACTAAAGATGAGTCGAGCAGCATGAGATGAGTAGAACAACTAAATGTTTTTATATATCTAAGTAATCAAAGAACTTTCATAAATGACGTATTGAAAAAAGTTGTTAGATATAAAAAATTATTTCCCCTCTTTTCAGGCCCCTTTGAAGTCTAAAACGAACAATTTTTTCTCTCGACAGTCAAGTTTCAACCAGCAAACATCTGAATTCAAAACTAGCACTCTATCGAGTGAACCGTGTATCTATTGCACTTTTAGGCGTACGTAAATTATAATTGTGAAAACCTCAAAGATCATCAATATTTATTTTTCCAGACATTTTGCTTACAATCGAATTTCTTTAAAACAAAATCAAAACTTAGGTGCTATAACGAGAAAACTAATCAGTTATGATCTATGTGATTTTCCCTGCTACCTTTCACTTAATACTAACTAACATGAAAAAAACAAATACATTTTGTGAATTTTTTTTAACTCTTATAAACAACTTTTGAATTTAGTAATGATTATTCACTAACTTTCATAAGATTTTATAAGAGTCCGAAATCTGGCTGTTCATAAATTTTCATGAATTTATTTAAGAGAAACCAATTTAGTTAGGAATATAATTTATGTTGGATTTGTATATTTAACTTACCTGTCAGCCCAAGAACCCCAAAATGGTGCGCTCAAAAATTCTATAAATGGTCTTATTCCTATGAGAAGACCACATTGTCCAGCGTTCATACCCATTTGTTTAAAATAAACTCCCATTAATGGAAAAAGAGATCCAAAGGCAGAATAGAAGAAAAAGTAAAAAGTTTTTACTGTCAAAAGTTCTTGATCAACAGCCCCAAAAAGATACTCAATGAAGTCATTTTTTCCCCGTATTTTGTGCGTTGCTTCTTTGGGTTGAGGATAAAGGTTAATATCTACGTTGCCCTCAGCATGTGGGTCCACCATAGGTCGTGCAGCAGATGAAGTAGGTAAATTATAGTTGTTAGCGTTATTTTCATCCATATTTTGGCTTTCAGCCATGCTTCCTGACTCGTAATATTGCATTTTATGATTGTACGATTATCACTTATTTAAACTTGATGTAGTAGACAATGTTTACAATAATTTTCAACTGTTCCGAATGCTTTTCTTTTACTTGGATTGTTTATTAAATCATTTTATTTGAGCAAAATAAAAAAATAGTCAATGTTCAACATGGTTGTATGTATCTATGTGCTCTTTTTATCAATCAATATACGCGATATACGCTTGCGCAGGTGCAACTATTATTTAGTATCATTCAAAGCTTAGGGGTATTTTTCTTTTTGTGTTATACGAAATTTCCTTAGAATAATATTAGTTTTAAATATAAATTTAAATGAAATGTCATTCAAAATGAATCGCAATTTTTAATAACGCGCTATAAGAGATTTATCATACTTTTTCAATAAGTTTATCAAAATAAACCTTCCTTATACAACTAATAGAAATGTATTAAATTCTAAACAAATCATTCATTCAACTATTCAATAACTTTTTGTTATGAGCTCCCACTAAAAAAAATTTAGTCTAACATACTTTGATAATTAAAACTGCTAAAATTGAATATTATTTCTATATTTATGAAATCTTTAATTATCATTTCCTTTAAGAAAATTAGTTCTTATAAGAGTGATAACTAGGAGTTGAACTATATTTTACTGCATTTGTAAAAATTTTTATTTTTATAAATTTTTTGTATATTTTGATACTAAAAAATGATCATAGTTAAATTCAATATACCCTAATTTTTCAGACCCTAAAAATTTATTAAGATACTATTGAAATAATGCTTGATATACTAAATCATTAAGCAAATAAAATTTTGAGGAATTTTGTAAAAATATATAACGATTGTACAAAATTAAAATAATTTTACACAATTACTATATGATATATAATATTGTAATATTGCACAAATTAATATTAAATAATCTTCAAATTTTCTTATGTAATATAAAGCTACGCATTATCGCTGCCACTGTTTAACCCCAGCTCATCCATAAGTCCCTTTGTGTACTCCTCTGTATTTTACAGGCACGTGCGTCTGGTCCCTCCGTATGTCCCTCCACATGCTACTCGGCAAAACGGGGCCAGGGGTTGGCGATAAAGTGAGAAAGCGAAAATTTACTGAAGAAAATTGAAGTAACATTTTTGCATTTAAGTTTAAGTTAAAATAGGCATGAAGAGAGCAAAGAGAAGGTAAAATTAACTGTTTAAAAGGAATTAAAGAATATAAAAAACAAAAAAAATGAAATTTGTATTGCATGCATTTACATTGGATACAGCTAAAATTTTAACAGAAGCTTTAAAATAATATTTTTCAGTGAGCAACATATCCGTTTTTCGATTAATTAATTTGTAGAATTTTTATGAAAATTTTCGAACGGAATTTTTGGGCAAAAATCAAACTTTTATAGGAAAGCTGCCATTTCCACAATTTTAACTTTTTGGCTAAAATCCTATGTGGTTATTTTTTAGTAGTTCAAGACATTTATCATTAGTCCTCAAAGTCCCTTATTGAATGACCTATCGAGCTCCGCAAAAAATTTCTGAATTTTGACATTTTTAAAAAATCTTAGAGTGGCGTTACCCTTTGCACGTGGACCATACGCGTGACGCTCGAGTTACACGTGTGACATGCGGGCAGCCAACAATGCAAAAATGGCCGACATGAAAATGTACGCGTCGAGCCGATAACATGAACTATGATAGCGGGCTATGAAGAAAACGAAAAAAAAATTGAAATCGGAAGAAATAAAGGAAAAATTGAATAAAAAAATGACAAAACAAAAAACCTAAGAAATCTGGGTAACTTAATGGGACATATACACTAGGGTGGTCCTTATTTCCCGAAGTGCTGGGATCCTAGCTCCCACCCGTCGAAAAGTTAGTTTAGGACTAAAAATAAAGAAACCCGTCGTCATAACTTCCAATAGTAGTCGCTAAACCCTCCCCGTTTTCGAAAAATTGTTTATTCACCATATAACCAAGATATACTCAATATTGTACTATTAGAACGTTATCAGAATATTCTAAGTTTATTTCAATAATTTAATTGGTTTTATATCAAAGAAACTTTACCCTTATACTATTTGAGATTCTTTAAAAAATTCATTCACACGAATATAACGTAAAAATTTAATAAAGAGGCGAAAAATAAGCATTTTCTCGAGTTTATTCGGTCTTTTCAGCAAATATCGGATTTCTTTATCTAAACCGAACTATATAATATCAAATTAAACTTTAAGACTTTTCTTTTTTTTAAGATGCCTCTAAGTGCTTTCTAGACTTAGATCTAACAGTTTCAATGAAAAAAAAAACGAAATTTGTTCAATTTAAAAGTTTTTTATTTAAATTAATTGGTCATTTAAAAAAGTTATCAATTTCTTTACAAGACATACGCTATAAAATTTTTAGCGACTCATTAGAGACTTTAAATATTAATACTAACGCTTAAAATGTCTAAATAAAAAGTAATTTTTTAAAATAATTAATAAAAATCTTGGAAAAAATGATTCTCTATTTCTTTATAAAATATATGGAAGAAGAGTGTTTTGAATTTAAAATTAAAGTAGCTAATCTCTTTGTGAGTGGACAAGGTTAAAAACGTTAGATTAAAAACGTTAGATGTAGGTCCCAATTTGGGGTTGCCAGGTATGGCGATTTTAAGATGCTGAAGGCGATTTTTTTTCAAGTTGGTGACTGGCAATTTCTGGGCGATTCTAGGTATGAATTAGCGATTTCAGGCGATTTTTCACCTTAGCAAACAATAACGAGAGACGATTGAAAAGATTTAATTTACGCGCATATTATACTCTACAGTAACCGCTAGTGTAGTGTCTAGAGTAAATTTTATGATCATAGGTTCGCAACAAGCAGAACTGTGTAAAAAGTAGGCCACGCAGCATTTGAGACGGTCACAGTATGCTCTTTAACATAAGCTGACTGTTTTAAACGCTGCGTGGCCTGTCTTTTTTTGGCCTTCGTTCGGTCTTCGTTCGGTAACAAGTGAACGAAGTCAGAAAGAGACAAATATATACACCGTCATTGCCGCGTAGCTACAGCGCCAATCGTGATACAGTGGCCGCGCTGCAGAAAGTATAGTGACTACACTTTTTAGCGCAACTGCTGTGCAAAGAAGTGTAGAGGAGAAGCGCCTAATGCGGCGCACGTTCATTTAGCATAGTTTGAGATATTTCAGCTAACTAAAATTTATGTAGTATATTCTATACATGTCAATCATTTAATTTTTGCAAAAAAAATTATTGCTTTACATCTTCAATAATAAATGACAAGCAATATAAAAAATTCGGCTGTTTTCATTTAATAATTACGAGATTCAATTAGTAGAGATTCATTTGATAATTCATTCATTTAATAATTACTTTTAAACTTGAGAATATAGAGAGTTCACTGCTCAAACGCGATTTACAGTACATATGGAGATGAAGTATTTGTACTCTACTTTAACATGACGCTTTAATATCGACGATTCATCAATTAGTTATTGAGTAATTTGCAATATGAGAGAGCATTGTTTTTATCCTATTGCGGCGCATCATCAGGGCCAATTATGGCGCACGTTCAGCTTGAACGTGCTGATGCTCAGTCATTATTTGATAAGTTGACCAATTTTTGTGATCTTATAAAATTAAATTTATAACAAATGGTTGGCATCGGTACTGATAAAGGATCCAATATGTGTGCCAAAAGGAAATCTTTGTTTGCTTTGTTGAAAGCTAAGTACCCGAAGATACAGCTAATCAGATGTAAATGTCACGCACTGAATAATGCCGCTTCAGGTGCAGCTGATGTCTTTCCAGCAGCATTTGAATTTTTGTGCCGTGAAGTATACAACTGGTTTTGTAATAGTAGCGTCCGTCGCATTGACTACAAATTAACGTGGGAAACATTGAATGTGAGCCATGAAAATAATGCCAACGATGAAAAAAAATATCACAATTTTGTAAAATTAGCATCCACGCGTTGGTTGTCAAGATACAATGTTGTTAAAATTATTTTAGGAAACTATTTTGAGCTTAATACTAACTTTACGACAGTGTGTAAATCGGAAAAATGTTATACTGCTCATCAACTGGACTCAGGGTCCAGTTTCTGTAATATTACTCAGAAAATTAAGAATCGTTTCATAACGTTCTAATAGTACAATATTGAGTATAATATGGTGAAATGAAGACGACGCTACTGGAAACTTACAACTCCACTACAAATCTCCAGAAAATACTATCCAGGCGTCAAGTCAACTCTATAATTGAAAAATAATGAGAAAACCATGAATTTGGGCCGAAAAATATTACGATTTGGCTTAATTCGATCCATGCGCATGCGCGGGCCTTATTTATCGGAAATGTAATATTTTGAATTTTGAAGATTGTGCTTTTTTCGTGATAACTTTGTCAATTTTCATCCAATCTGCAAGAAATTTAGCCTAAATACGAACAACTACACTAAAAATCTGTAACGAATACTATCCAAGCCTAAAGTTAACCATTACTAATGAAAAATTGAGAAAACCTTCAATTTGCGTCATGAAAGATAAGGGAGGTGGAAAAATCGTAGCATAATTCTTTAGTATCAGAGCAAAAGCCAAAAAACAAATAAATTTATAATATCAACCATTTAGCTGGTAAAAGATGATGGAGGTGGTAAAATCGTAGCATAATTCTTTCATATCAGAGCAAAAGCCAAAAAAAAATTTTATTCATGTTACCATCTATTAGCGTGATGAAAGATGAAGGAGGTACAAAAATTCTTGCAAAATTCTAACACTAACTAGACCCAGGCTCAAATTAACTATAAATAGTATAAAAATAAAAAAAACCTTCAAATTTCGCACGAAAATATTACCATTTGGCTTAATTCGGTCCATCCGCATGCGCAGGCCTAATAACCGGAAATGGAATATTTTGAATTTTGAAAATTATGCTTTTATGTCATAATTTTGATAATTTTCATCCGATCTGCAGAAAATGTAGCCTGAATATGAACCACTACGATAGACGTCTGTAACGAATACTACACAGGCCTGAAGTTAACTATAACTGGTAAAAAATTAAGAAAACCTTCAATTTGCGTGATGAAAGATGAGGAGGAGGTAAAATCTTAGCATAATTTTTAGGTATCAAAGCAAAAGCCGAAACACAAGTTTATTCATGTTACAATAAATTAGCGTGAT